GCTATAACTGTACCCATGTTCCTTTTTGCACATTTTCTGGTCATCAGACAAATAACATGACATGTGTCATAGTAGATTTTTTGGTTATCCCATATGTCATCAGCAATCAGGAAGAAAAGATCTTTCATTTTATCACATAATATACAGGGTGATCCATTAAAAAAAGTCGAAGTTGTCTACGTTTTTCCATATTCCGATGCGATTTTGTTTTTTCTGATAACGTTACAAGAAAATATAGGAAAAAACTGTCAAGTTTTGTATTTAAATTTTTTTCTATCGTAAATAGTAAAGGCTGTAGGTATGGGTCCAAATATAATCAAATACCCTGTACAGTCACAGAAGTAATAAAAATAAAAATAAAAAAATAATAAAAAAGTAATAAAAATAAAAAAAGTAATAAAAAAATAAAATAAAATATAATTATTTAATAAGTGTTGTTTGTTTTTAAGTTAAATTTTTTGTATTTTTTTACCTTTCATTTCATTTATTATTATTACCAGTATTACAATCTCATTACAATAAATTTAAGCATACAATATGTATACCTAATCTAAAACTTTCATCGTACAAATTAGCCCCTAGATGCGGTAACATCCGTATGGGCGAAACAAAAGTTATACATAAAGAAATTTTATTTATATAATGCGAAAATAAAACATCAAGACAATATAATCATTTGAGAATCATAGACCTTCTTACTTTTGATTTAGCTCTCCATAATCTTAAAAAACTCACCATAATGCTCTACTATGTATGTTTTTGACAATTTAGAAAAATAATTCATGTTTCTAGCTTTTATATTATTTGGGAATAGGTTGTATAATTTGGAACCCAAGAAAGTAATGGATTTTTTACAAAATTCACTGTAACATCTAGGAATGATTAGATGTTTGTTTGTATTTATTCTAGTGCCATGACTATGATTCACAACTGTACTATTCTTATTATGCCTGTGAATATGACAACATGTCATGTAAAAAAATAGTGTTCTTATATTAATAATAACTTTGTTATATAGTAGCTGTGTAGGATATAATATATTTCTCTTGTGGATTATCTTCAATATTCTATTTTGCAAAACCTGCAGTGGCTTTAATGAGTTATTATATAAACTTCCCCATACTACTATTCCATAGCGTAATATGGATTCAACCAAGGCCTGATACAGAGAAATCAGTATTTTCACCCCAAGCATCTGCCTTAATGTATAAAATTTATGTACCAGATTCTTTAGCTTTTGAATGAGATAAGTTACATGTTTGTTCCATTTCAAGTTCTTGAAATGATGAAAGAACGTGACATAGCGTATAGAAAAAAAGTTAAAAATCCGGAAGTTGTTATGTATGATAATGAATTTAGAAAGCTTAAAAACAAAGTTAACAATAAAATCAAGTCATTGAAAAACTTATATTTTCGTAAAAAATGGGATCAGGCAGGTGATAACATAAAAAAGCAGTGGGAATTTGTAAATAGTTTCTTTAAAAATAAACACAATCCAAATGATATAGAATCATTGATGATTGAGGGAATGGAGGTAAAAAATGGCAAAAATATTGTAAATAGTTTAAATAAGCACTTTGCAAATATAGGTGAAAAAATTGTAAGAGATTTGAATGGGGACATTTTGCAGAAAGGTTTGAACAGACAGTTTGAAGAGATAAAATGTAATAAAATTATAAATATAAAAGGTACAAATGAAATTGAAATTAATGAAATCATGTCGGAACTTAAAAAAAACTCTGCACCCGGGGATGATGAGGTAACGGTACTTGATGTTCTAAATTTACGGGAATTTATATTGAAAATTTTAACAAAACTGGTAAATGATATACTTACCACAGGAATATTTCCACAAGAACTGAAAATAAGCAAGATTACACCAATTTATAAATCTGGTGACTCAAAGTGTATGAGTAATTATAGGCCGATTTCAGTCATAAGTATATTTTCAAAGATTATCGAAAAAGTTATAAAAAACAGGATGATAAATTTTATTAATGACAATATAACTTTTGACAAGTTCCAGTATGGTTTTATTAGAAATAGTAGCACTTTAGGCGCTACTTTTGATTTTGTCAATTACACCTGCAAAGCTTTAGATGAAAAAAAAATTGTTATAGCTGTTTTTATTGATTTGAGTAAGGCTTTCGATGTTGTCAGCATAGACATACTTCTGAGAAAACTTTTTGTGATGGGCTTTAGAGAACCTATATTTACCCTTATTAAATCGTATTTAGGCAATAGAAAACAATATGTGAAATTAGGTAATGTAAAGAGCGAGTTACTAACTAATATGTATGGGGTACCGCAAGGTTCTGTCCTCGGTCCTATTTTGTATTCTTTGTATGTTTTAAGCCTTAGATGTGCAAACCTAAAAGCTCAGTATTTCACCTTTGCTGATGATACAGCTTTGGTATACACGGGTGAAAATGAGACAGAACTTATGCAAGAAGTCAATGAAGATCTTAAACTATACAGTAACTGGCTCTACTTCAACAAATTGAAAATCAATGCAGATAAAACCAAATATATGCTCTTCAAGCAAAAAAATAAACAGATTGAAAGTACAAATATTGAAATTAATGATACAATTTTGGAGATGGTTACTGAGATTAGATATCTTGGACTAATTATTGATGAGTCGTTAAATTGGCAAAGCCACATAAACAAAATTAAAAATAAAATTGTTCCAATGATGCCCATTATCTTTAAATGTCGAGATTATCTATCTATCAAAACAAAAAGGAATATCTATAATGCCTTCTTTTTGTCCCATTTGCGTTACCTACTGCCAGTATGGGGTACCTGTTCTAGAACTAGGTTTGATGAAGTTCAAATTTTACAAAATAAGGTCTTAAAGATTTTATTCAAATATGATATACTTACAAGCACAGATACCCTATACAGTGAGTTAGGTCTCTGCAAATTAGAGAAAATATTAAATCTTGAACAGGGTAAACTAATGCATAAAATTATCTTACAAAAACAAAAAATAAATACAAATATAACCTTTACCAACGAAATACACAGTCATAATACGAGAAATAATAATAATGTATATCTGAACTATAGTCGAATAAATGTAGGTCTTTATAGCCCAATTCATGAGGTATCTAAACTGTATAATTCGTTACCGGGAAGTCTAAGACTGATAAATAACTACAATGTGTTCGTTAAAAGACTGAAAACATTCCTAGGAATAAAATAAAAAATAATTAAATCTTGTTGCTAGTTGCTAGAAAAATAAATAATTATGATGTTATTTTAGTTTTAAGTATGGTTAATTGTTAAATGTTTATTAATTATACTCTCGAGGCCAGCGCCTTCAGCACTGATTGGAGAGTCTGTTAAATATTGTTAACATATTATAAAGAAATAATAAAGGATTATTTTCAAAAAAAAAGTTCTGATCAATCATTATGCCGAGGTACTTAGTATCTGTGACAGAATGAATCCTATCCACAAGGCCATCAACCTCAATAAATGAAAATGATGGTCTGTTGACTTCTGTTTTTGTGAAAGCAATGTAATTGGTTTTTTTTACATTTAGTGACAATTTATGTGCATCCAGCCATTTTTTCACCAACTCAATGCCATTTTGGGTTTTTATTTTTGTTTCTTGCCATGAAGCTCCACTAAAAACAATCACCGTATCATCTGCATATGATATTACCTTGCCTTCCACATTTAAGTCAGTTAATGATTTGATGTAAAGATTAAAAAGTATTGGTCCTAAAACTGTCCCTTGAGGAACACCAATTTTTATAGTGCAAGGGTCACTAAGAGTATTATGTATCTTTACCATCTGTTGTCGGTTTGTCAAATAATTTTTAAATTTTTATTATTTTTTGGGGGGGTTTGAACCCCCAAACCCCCCCCCCCCCCCTAGATACGGCCCTGCCGAGACCAGTCAATTTTTTTTTCCCAAGGAAAAAAGTAACAGGTACTAGTTAAATTTTTTCCTCAAAGGGAAAAAAGTATAAGTACGGTCACAAAAAAATTATAGTGTATAGATGGTAGATTTTTTAGCATTTTTTATCTGTGGTTGTGCTCATTATCAAAGATTATTTTGTCATTATGAATGTTGTTATTGTAATATTTTGTGATTTTAAGTACAATCTAGCTTTAAGTATTGCTTTGTCAATGAAACTCTTATGTTATTTTCTGACAATAAAGCTTATTTTGATTTGATTGATTTGATGGAAAAAAGTGAGATTTTCCCGTCACAGAAAAAAATAGTGTATTATAGAGTCGAAAAAACTCGGGAAAAAAGAAAGATTTTAGCGCTTGCTGTGTTGTCTGTGACAAACCACACCTCGTCCTAAAATCTAGTACTCCTTTCCCCCTGTATAATAAATAACTATCCGAAAGTGTTTTTTTTTCAGAAATTATGCTGCATAATGTTCAGATTCAACCGATTTATTTTCTGAGATTGAGATGTTTTTTTTTTCTCTTCTACAAGTAAATTCAAAACTAGTAGATTCCGATTTGAAACGGTTACCTATTTCAATTAAAATTAGTGCAAAAATAAAGTTGGCTTTGGAATTGGAAATTTGCACAAAACATGCTGAATTTAACCTCTTTGCCATCAAGCAAGCTCTCTTTTTGCTTAGTTTTGCCTGAGAGGGAAATATTATATTGATAGGAAAGTACCTCAACATTTAAGAGGGCATGAAAATTTTAGGAAAGAGATATATTATATACCTACGTACCTATAATCTATAATCCTATAATTTAAATTTTTTTCAAGTTTGTCCTTTTTTTTTTTCAATGTTTACAAAAATTAAACAGCCGTGCTTAATAACGTATAGGTTAACCGGTTCATGATTCCATCTTTGTGATTATTCTCATGTTGAACAAGGATGCCAACAGCACAATGAACCACAAATCATAAACCCGAGGCATAAATAAGTTAGAATTGATTTTAAGGTGTTTTAAAGAAAAGAAAAGGATTTGCCAGTACGGTAATCATGTAAATAATATAATTCTTTAATACTTACAACAACAATTTTCTTTCAAATAACAATTTTCCCTCCAAACGCCACTCACTAGATTTTTCAGTATTTTTAACTTTTGCAGAGTTTTTTTTTTGTTTTCTTTGGCTGTCAAATGTCAAAAGTGTCAAATAAAGGGCTTGTTCGGGTTAGAAAACAGAGCTGCTTTCCGCCCTAATTGTTAGAGTATCATGGTATCATGCTCCTGGAGTGTGATATTCTTGAACTGTTCGACATAAGCCGCTTTTCAGCTGACCATGCTTATGTTCCTATTATCAACTGTTAGTACTGAATTTACTGGACGCCGTTCCGATATCATTTTCAGTCACTGGATTCAGTCGATTCAGTACTGAATGGCCACAAGAGTATACGTTGTTGAAATCGGAACGGCAAATGACAGTAAAATCAGCACAAAAAATCCAGTACTGGCAGTTGATATCGGAACATAGCCCATTTTGACGCAGGCATTCCAGCGTTCAAAAACAGCTAAGGGAGGATTTTCATGCATCCGTTTTTCCGACGAAATATGTCCGTTTAACATTCTATTCTGACATAATCGTATATAAATATGTCAAAATAGAAGACTTTTCGGACATATATATTTCGACGGAAAAACGGATGCATGAAAATCCTCCCTAAGCCGAGCCAAAATTGGCATATTGCGTTCAAGTTCGGCTCCAGCGTGCCAAAAACGGTTGGCTTTACACGTTCCAAATCGGCCGCGGTAAAGTAACTTTTGGAGGCTCTTTCAACTGAGTCTAGAAATGGTTAATGCTGTTGTACTAGTGGTAGCTCATGATATAGCTAGTAGTAGTAGTGTGTATTATCCTTGGGGTGTTTGCATTAGAGGTTATGGTTCCGCGGGCTTTTGCTTTAATGCTTATTTGGTTTTACTACATGAAATACCATTCTAAAACAAATACTTCTTTAGATCTCGTTTGCAACTTCCTCTTTGCCTATTATGTTAATCAAAATTAAATAATATTTTTCATAATGAATGCATATTCTAAACTACGCTACGACCGCTGGCGCAAACAGCTGAAAACGTAGTTGATGACGTCGTCAATGGTGCTACACAATATGGCCGCGATTCCCAAGAAGGAGGCCTATAAGCAATCGTGTGTAATAGAGTGTTTTTGCATAAAGGCACTCTCTTTTACTTCAAGGGTCGGTGTCTCAATAGCAAGTCACCTCCTTGATTAGCAGCATTACTCATCATCATCAGATCAACATCTTTTTCACGACCGCTGGCGCAAACAGCTGAAGACGAAGTTGATGACGTTGTCAATGGTGTTACAGAATATGGCCGCGATTCCCAAAATCGAGGTTAATAAGCAATGTATAATAGTGTGTAATATCCTTGACTGTGAATAACGTTTTTGCACTCTCTTTTACTCTAAGAACACGAGATAAAGAAAAATGTTCTGACAGTCCACCCCTACGTCTGCAACTAGTGCAACTCCGTGTGTAAAGCCTAATACTCATAACTGCGAAATTCGCATTTTTTTGACAATTTGACGTTTTATGCGTGTATCAAACGTCAAATTGTCGAAGCAATGTCAAAAAAATGCGAATTTCGCAGATATGAGTACTAGGCTTAAGATGGTCGAACCCAGCTAGAACAGTTTAAAGGCGGGTATTATAAAACTACTTTGAGAGTTAACTTAAAGTTAACTTCTGGAATTACATATAATTCAAAAAGTTAACTTCAAGTTAACTGTCGAAGCAGTTTTATAATGCCCGCCCTAAGTCAAATTACATTGGCGGATCCACGGAGGGGGGTAAAGGGGGTAATTACCACCCCCAGAGAGGCGTAAAAAAAATTTAATTATTGAAAAACACACAAATTATTTTTTGCTTAGAAAACATTTTGGGCGTGGCACCCGAAAAAAATTTCTGCCTCTTTCTGTGTGAACTAGGGTTGCCAACCGTCCTTGATTTCAAAGGACACTCCTTTATTTTAGAATAATGTCCTTTGTCCTTTTGGAAGGTGCTAAAGGGCGGCAAATGCCCTTTAAAATCCGGAAATATAAATAAATGCATATTTTTTTTTTGAAGTACCGCCACCATCATTCACCACGTAGGCTGTGATAGTGAGCTAATTATTTCGTCGATTTTAGATATCAGAACGAATTTCATTGGTTGAAAACAGTCAAAAACTAGTTTCAACCAATGAAAATCACTCTGACTGGTTTGTGATTTCTGCAGAAACCGGCCTAATATTTCCAACGCTTCGATTCAGTGGCTTCGATTCAGCGTTTAACTGCTCTGTTGCTCTGTGCGCTCGCTGGTCACGTGAATACGGTTCCGCATCAGCACGCTCTGCTTTTTAATAGCGATTTCCATTTGTCGAACCAGTGCAAAAAAAATGTATCCTTATCCTTACATGTTACATGCTTTTAGAAAAAGATGCGGATACACTCAGTGCGCACTGACTGACAAATGGAAATCGCCATAAGTGTGAGTCAGGATTAACAACAAAAAGTCTCTTCTGGAAAACTTGGGTCAGACAGTTTTTTGTCAATCTCAAAGCTGAACAAAAGTAAATGGACATGTTTTTATGTTATGTTTGGTTCAAAGATGACACTGACTTGCAAGGATGATACACACCACTACTACAGGATGACTTATCCTCATAAGGCCTGTGTGTAACAAATCCCCCACCCCACCGAGAAAATACCAGTTGTGACGTAGGCAGCATGTTATTTCTCGCCTCGACGTAGGCTGTTTAAACAGCTGACGACTTAGTTATGACGTCGGCAATGGTAACACACCAATATAGCGGCGATTACCAAAAACGAGGCAGAGCGAATTTCATTGGTTGAAAACAGTCAGAAAACCAGGGACCCGGACCGAAATGAAATATCGGTTCCGTTCCGGTTCCGGTCCACAGCGTCATGACGAATATCGGTTCCGTTACGGTTTCGGTTCTAAGAGAAATATTTCGATTCGGTTCGGACCAATAATTTCGGTTTTAACGGTTCATACCGGTACAGTTTTTCACAAATATTTATTGGCCATTTGCACTGACCATTTCAAGAAGCATCCTTTAAAACGGTCATTACAGAAAAAGGACCCCGCACATTTCTTATGGAAAAGTGATCAATGTGGAATTTTGCTGAATTTTTGATATTGTGTATAGGGTGTAGAAGAGTATAAGTATAGGTAGTCAAAGTCAAAAGTGAAAAGGATAGTTTTAATTTTCGGTGCTATGAGCATACTGGTGACGTCATACTAAAGAGTATCAAATTAAAAAGTTTTTAATTGATATCTTGAAAACTGTTGGGTATTGAACATTAGCGCAATGATCACTTTTGTTAAGGACGACTCCCTATACACAATATCAAAAATTCAGCAAAATTCCACATAGATCACTTTTCCATAAGAAATGTGCGGGGTCCTTTATGTTTCTATAATTTGTGGTTTATGTTTTCTGGATTTCTCGGCCTATCTGCATTAACTTTAATAATCATAATAATTACTATTATTAATAAAAGAAATTTTTGTGTTTTCGATCAGTGATGTCGTAACAGCGTGTCGTGTCTCGCCTTGACGTAGTGCTTGCACCAGTTGCACCACGGATTAGGAGGTGTTTTCTCGCGTCTCAAAGTTTTGAAACATTTTCCAAAACTGGTTTAAATCAGTTTCACCATGACGTCATAATTTATCGGTACGAGGAAATGATTTTAAAACGTGGATTGGATTGTATTTCGAAACGGTTTAGAACCATAGTACATTATTAATTATTCTAAAACAACCCTTGTTTAGATCTCGTTTGCATCTTGCTCTTGTCTATTGACTATGTCTTAATCAAGTTTAAATTATACTACGAACGCAAACCGCTCACGAGACCGTTGATGACGTCGGCAACGGTTCAACAACATATGAACTTGATTCCAAAAATCGATGCCGATGAGCAATCCTATAGTAGTATGTAAAATCCTTGGTGTGTAGCCTAGCCGAGTTCAGAAATGCGCGCTGTCCAATGTCCGCGCTCTGTTTTTTAAAGTGTTAATTTTATTATGATACAACCAAACAGTAAACAGCTTAATTTATAAAATCTTGGAACCGAAAAATACCGGTAAAGCTGGATTTATAGTGTCAGTAGCAGTAACAGTAACAGTAACTTAAAACTTAAGAACAGATATGAAAATATCCATTTCTTAAGTTTTACTGATAAGTTTCTTAAGTGAACTATAAATGGCTTTAGGGTCGGCCGTGTTTTAATTTTTTACTGTTACTGCTACTGTTACTGATACTGACACTATAAATCCAGCTTAAGAACCGATTAATTTATATCGGTTCCGGTTCTGCCTGCCCTACAACATTTCTATGAAATATGGGTTTCGTTCCGGTTCCGGTCCGCAAAAAAAAAAACGGTTTCGTTCCGGTTTTCGGTCCAATATCGTTCCGGTCCGGGTCCCTGCAGAAAACTAGTTTCAACCAATGAAATTTACTCTGACTGGTTTGTGATAGAGGTGGGCCAATCTGCGATTTTAATGGAACTGTGACAAGACGTGACTGCTCCAGTCGTGTCACTGTGACAAATAGCAGTGATTTTTTGGAGCAGTTTTACCTTGGTTGACGGCCGTACTGCTAATATTATGGTAATGCTACGTCGCAACATGGCATAATCACAGTCATCAGTCACGGCCGAGAAAGATGTTCCAGTTTCTGGCCTGTCCTCTGCAGTAGCAGTTTCTATTTGGCGTGACTGCGATGCGATTTTTAATATTATATTATTTCGTTCGCATCACTTAGCTCGAGTTTTGTCCGCGCTGCATCGGTCGGAGCTTGAAGCAGGCAGTGACAAAATGTCACTGCTACTTGACTGGGACTGGAGCAGGCCGTGACTGTGACAGACGAGTAGCAGTGACAAAGTCACAGTTCGTGAAATCGCAACCCACCTCTAGTTTGTGATTTCTGCAGAAACAGACATAAAAGGTAACGGTCGCTTGAGTCGCTTCTCGTAAGCCCCGTGATCGGCCATTGCCGATACTAGCCGACCGCAAAGGTCAATGACTGGGCGCGTGACCTACTCCGGCCCACTCAATCTAAATATTTGAGCTGGGTTCGGCTTCGGCTAGTCAGCACGGAGCTGGAGTGGAGTAAGAACAGATTTTTATCACGTGATCTAGGAGTGATTAGAGTGAAAAACTTTTGCCTTGCGTTCGGTATTTTGCTCAAAGAGCAGAGCGTGCTGAGCGGAGTCGTGATCACGTGACCAGTGAGCGATCAGAGCAGTTGAGCGCTGTATAAAAGTGCCAGAAATATTAATAAACGAACGCGAATGAGACTGCACCGAGTACACTTTTTAAATAAACGAACGGTAAAATCAAGCTCGGAGAACTCGGACCAAAATAACGAACGCAGGGATAGACGAACGGTCGGAGCAAAAATGTCAAGAAGCTGATTTTTTTTGTTTCAAAACAACAGTCAACCTTGACTTTACTACGATCCAGTTTCCGAATTTTCTTTTTCACTTTTGTCTTTGGTCTTTCGTGTACTATAAAATTAACTTCAATTCCTCCACAATAATGAATAATATGATGCTTTTGCCTCTGTTTAACTGTCAAGGAAATTTTTCCATCATGTTTAATAAATTTTAAAATCAGATCAATTATTTAACTCGATTATTTTATTAATTCCTGCATCCTCTGATCCTCACATAAGCGATTTTCAATTTTTTCAACAACAACCACAACGTGACACACGATGCTAGCTTGACAGTTCCCACATTTCACTTCTGCGCATGCTTGCTCTAAAAAATTCTCTTTCCGAGGTGGAACATTTAGGGTGAACTCCATTTACTCCACTCCGTATAGTCGAACGCTAATGGAGTCACCGCTAATACGCCAAAAAGCAATACCCGAACGGCTGGAGTGCGAATGCAGTCACTCGGAGTGCACGGAGTGAGCAAGCCGAACCCACCTTTGGTATTAGTGGTACTTCACCCCCTCGCTCCTTATACGGAAAGTGTCAGATTAAAATCGACGGACAATACTTATCTGCTTATTTTATTGACAATTCCATGCGAATTTCGCGCAAAAAGAGCGAATTCCGCGCAAGTGAGAATGAGGCATAAGTATAAGTCGTCATGGCATTTGAAACTTCTGAAAGTGCAAAGTGCTCCGCTCCGCAAAGATCATCTCACATGTGGGGCTTCCGGAGTTATTACTCTTGTCTTTTTACTCGACTCTGGCTGTACTCGAAGTATGAGAAGCTTGCACTAATTGCACCGCCTGATCCAAACAGTTTCGGAGTGAAAAGTACCAAAAAGTTAGTCGAACTCACCCATTTGACTGCGCATGCCAAATTGTCACTTGTCAGAAATGTCAGTTATAACGTTAAAGCCCAACTGCTGTTTTTCCAGCGTTCAATGTAATGTTTATTTGAAGAAGATAGGACGATAGCAGAAGAAAAGTGTTTTTATGTGTGTTTTAAAAGCGATGTGAAGCTTAAAATCAATTAACTTTTGTATTTAAAATTTACTCCCCGAAATAACATTTTAAAAAAACTGTGCGGAAATTAAAAGGTTGTGACCTTAGCTGCTACACAAATGCCGAAAACTTCGAGACAACCATTTACTGATCATACAAACACGCTAAATATGAATAGTGCCAAAACTGATAAGCGAAATACTTCAAAAATTGCTACGAGAACACGAAGTGTTGTCAAGAAATCTAAAGCCGCCAAATCTGACAGCCATTTACTAAGGGATGCTGACGAAAATGTTATAAAAACAACCCTGATATCAAGCCCCAATAAACAAACTAAATCTGACAATTTACCTACAGGTAAAACTGGATTATCTCACAAAATTTCAAAGGACAATGCTGCAAACAAAAGTCCACGAACTACCAAAAAGCCCATTGAAAAATCAGAATCAAAAACAACTCCTGATAAACCTAAAACAAACAAAAATAATTCTAAATATTCATATTGTTATATTAAACTAAAACCAGGTGACAGAATATGTGACCAAATCTCAAAGAACAAAACTCTGGTGAAAAAGATTAAAACAACACAAAAGTCCACTAAACCCATCACTACTAACAATAGGCCTGAAGTTGTAAAAGGAATCTCAAAGATCAAAATTACTGAAAAACCATTACAAAATGAAGATTCTCAAAAAATAGTTTCAAAACAGCTAAAAGTTGTTTTAGTAAGGTACATGCCAGATAAACAAAAAGTTACTTTTCACCCTAACTTACAAAAGGATAAAAAACAATTTGACTTGAAAAACCAACCAACAGTAGATCCCCAACACTGTAGTCCTGAAAAATCAGTGCCATCAAAAACAAATGTTCCTTGCGAGCAAACTAAGTCAGATTTTATTCCTACACAAGTTACCACCAACTCAAATTTACAAAAAAATAAAAAGCGTTATGGCTTAAGACAAGGAGGAAAAGAAAATTTGAAATACAAGGAGGAATTTGTGCTAGACAGTGATAGTGGAAAATCAGAGGAACACGAACCAGTTTACAAGAAGGCACATTCTGTTCCCATCTACAAACATCCCATTCCAAAATTGCCACAAAACCAACCACAAACTGAAGATCCTTATGATTTTACCCCGGAATTTACAGATGTAAAATTGAATAAAAAAAGACCACAAAAAGATATTTCAATTATATATGACAAAGACACGCATGAAATTGTACAGAAACTTGAAAAGAAAGAGGCTAAGCTCAAGAAACGAATACAAAGAAAAAAGAAGCCTTATGATAAAATTATTGGAGATATTGTTTCAAATGTCATGCAGAAAATAACTAAAAAAACACTGAAAAATCCTCTAATTACTAAAATGGATAAGACTAACATTGACGTTGCAGTGGAATTTATTAAAAGTCATGTGCCAACTACTACTGAACTGCCAAGTACAAGCACTGCTAATAGTGTGCAAAATGTTGCCATAAGAAAACCACAACCTAAATTTACTGTTTTGAGTAATAAATTATTGAAAAAGGGTGTTACAGAACCAGAAATTGATGGTATTTCAAGTGAGGATTTGCCAAGTACTTCTGCAAAAAGTCTGCAAGATGTTGCAGTAAGAACACTAGTACCTGAATCTACCTCTTTGAATAATAAATTACCAACAACCAGCACTACAGTACCAGAAAGCGCCCAGAAATCTATTGTAAATCAGGATTCAAAGACTATAAATACTGACCAAAGAAGACTCTTCAAGCAAGTGCCAAAAACCAGTATCGCCTTTTTGAGACAGGATTTACCTACTACAAGTACTCCAAACAGAACATCCAATTTATGTAATAAATCACTAAATGAAGCCGACAGAAACTCTTGCTTTGGCTTCGATGATGATGATGGTTACCTTTCACCTTTGGCAAATTCATCAGATGAAACTTTGGGGTCTCCTGTAGAATTCCATAAAAAACCAAATGCCAATAGTACAATGGTGGGCGTTCAATATAATTCAAGACCATCTAGAGCAGAAGGTCCAAGAATAAGTTATTTCAACTGCAAACATAATGGACTACCTTCAGGGAGCCAACAGATTTTTATTGATCACACTATTGCGGAAGCATTTGAACATACGCATACACCTTCAAAAACTCCCCTTCGTGAGGAGTTTCCTGCAAAAAGGCCAGCAGTGCAGCAAAGTATATTGGATTATGTTGACCACAATGACCACCTGACTTACCAGAATAAGACGCTGGAAGCTTCTCTGTATAATATTGAAGAGTTACAAAGTCCAAAGAAGAAGAAAGAAACACCACACATTGAAAATGTGAATTTGGCAAAAAGAATCATACAATTTCCTACTGGTTCCTCCATTAAACGAAAACCTTTAGGAGACATAAGCAACTCTTCTGATGAAATCACATTTTATAGATCTGATAGTAGCCCTAGAAAAGCTTCCAAAAACGTTTCTGATGAAAATGCTAAACCCTTCAGGTTTGACCCAAATTTGCTAAAAGTTTACAGCAAAAAAAAACGCAATAATCAAATCCAAAAAGAACCTGAAGTTAAGGATAAAGCTCGTGATGAAGATACTGAGGAAGCTACTGCTGAAGAAACAAGTATTTCAATAATGGAAAATTCGAGGGAAAATTCTGATGAGAATGTGGCTGATGTAGGATTGTTTGAAGATCCAGAAAAAGTGCTAGATGATATGGTAAGGATTTTTTTTTTAATGTTTTGTTTAGCTTTGAAGTACACTGTAGGTATCTCTTACCAAAAATGTTTTGCCTGTGTATAGGTATATTGGTACAAGATTTTAGATAAAAGTAGACATTTCATCGGAAGTTCAGAAAAAAAATCTCTAGAGACCACATGAGGTAAAGTACCCAATTGTTGACATGTTGGGTATCCTTGCTTATCATCACCACACATTTTCCAAATTTTTAAACCAGAGGCTTTGATATATTTTTTGGCATGATTTCAAACTCATAATTGAATGTTTAGATATAATATTTTCCCTATATTCCTATTATTTGTGTTATGATGCCAAAAATACCTGAAAGGTGATAAAACCCCAATAGTTGACACCCCAAAAAATTCACTTCGCCAAAAGTTGACACATTTTTGGTCTAAAGGTTGACAGTTATTTTTTTACAAAACCAAATTTTTATTTTTTTTAAAGACATGTTGTGGTTTCATTACTTGACACTCTTGAAACCAATAGTTGACATGTTGCCTGTATCAGTAGAAACCCTGGTAGAAACATCAATAATGTAAAAATCAATCTTTTTAATATTAAAAAATAACATTGGGAAACTTTTTGTTGGGGAAAAAATACAAATTTCAATTCCAAATTGGTAATAAAAGAAATTGCTTAGAAAGCATTGGTAAATTGTGTTTTTTGCTGATGTAGCTACACTAAGCCCCCTATCGCAATCATCCAACACAGTGGTCATGTTTTCTGGTAGTTCTGGTGCATATTTCAGCAATTTCCATTTTTCATAAGCCATCTCTTGATTTAAACCTGAAAGGACCAATTGTTGACACTCTAAATCTCCAAACATTGACAGGGGTAAGAGGGGTGTAATCTATTGGATCTACGACCGTTACATTCCCCAAACCCATATCTAGGTTTCTTTTTAATCCAGAGCAATAAAAAGAGAAAGACTACAATGTTAAAATATTTTTACGGCCAAAAATCCATAAATTGACACTAGTGTCAACATTTGGATCACCCCTCGATTTGGGCTCCAATAGTTGACACTATTAGAAGAACGAAAGGTATTTTGGGCTGAAATCAAACAATTGCTATTTGCTCAATATATGCGTATATTGGAACAAATGTTGAAGCAGAACTAACTTGGCAAAATCAAATAAATGTATTCATACATAGGAAAACCTCGAAACGTGTTTACATTAACACCCTGAATTTTAATGATGTTTTGATAAACAAGTGACACCAAATAAAATATAAATAAGGGAAGTTTAAGTTTTGCCTCTATAACTATATAATATTAAATTATTATATTATGTAATAGAAATATTGATATTCATATATCTAATACTCCCACTCAAAAATTAAACGAAATAACTATAGTATCAAAAAAAAAAAATATTATAAAGTATAATAATAAAAAAAAAAATTAATAATCAAATGAACAAAAATATATATATATATTTAAATAATCAATAATATATATGAAAAATATTTTGTTGGCTAGATTAAACCAATATTCTTCCTTATTTCTTTGAATTTGATTGCTGGAAGACCTTTTGTGAAAGCATCGGCCAACTGTTCAGCTGTAGAAATATATTTTAATGTTATGACATTTTTCTCTATTTGTTCTCTTGTAAAATGATATTTAATATCGATATGTTTCGATCTTTTATGATAGACAGGATTGTTGGCCATGCTAATACAGCTACTGTTGTCTTCAAACAGGGGTATAGGATTAATAATTTTAATGTCAATACTTTTAAACAGTGATATGATCCAAATAGCTTCCTTAACGCATTCAAAAAGTGCCATATATTCAGCTTCTGTAGTAGAAGCAGCTACAGTATTTTGCCTTTTCGAATTCCAAGAAATTAGGCAATTCTGAAAAGCTTTGAACAAGTATCCTGATGTACTTTTTCTATCATTTTCACAATTTCCCCAGTCTGAATCAACATAGCCAACAATAATATCTTCACAATTACCTTTTGTGTACGTTAACTTGAGCTCAAGAGAACCTTTAATATACCGTAAAACCCTTTTCAATGATTTCCAAAGTTCTTCATTATTTTTACTTTGGTAACGGCTCAATAAATTTATAGATATACATAAATCTGGGCGTGTACAGAGCATGGCATACATCAGACACCCAATTAAATTTCTACAGGGTGCGTCATAATAAATTTCTGAGTTTAAAGCAGTATAATTTAATTTTGTTGGAAGAGGGCTATCTACAGGTTTGCATTCACTCATATTAAAATTAAAAATTACAGTTTTTAGATAGGAACATTGGTCTAATGTGATTGAAATTTGTGTTCTTTCAATTCTTATTCCTAAAAATAGTTTTACTTCATTCAGGTCGACCATATTAAATTTTGTCATCAAATATTTTTTAAAATTCATCATTGTGGTTGAATCATAAGTTGCGATCAACAGATCATCAACATATAAAACCAGGTAAATATTTTTCAAAATACTACCCTTATTTAAGAAGTAAAGACAACGGTCTACCATTGAATTTTGAAACCCAGCCTCTTTTAAAGTAATGTCAAATCGTTCAAACCAGCACCTTGAGGATTGTTTTAAGCCATATAATGATTTATGTAATTTACACACTTCATCATTTTTCGCTTCAATCCCTTCTGGTACTTTCATATAAATCTCTTCTTTAAGTATGCCATTCAAAAATGCTGTTTTGACATCCATTTGGTGTATCAATAAATCATAATTATTTGCAAACGCAAGTAAAAACCTGAATGTTGTTATTCTGGCAACTGGGGCAAAAGTTTCGTCATAGTCGAGTAAATACCTTTGACTAAAACCTCTTGCTACCAGACGCGCTTTATATTTAATTGGGAGGCCGTTTTCATCATTTTTTATTGTAAAAACCCATTTGCAATCAACAATATTTTTATTACTTGGTTTTTTAACTATTGACCAAGTTTTATTTTCTAACAATGAATTAATTTCTTCCTTGATAGCAAGCTCCCACTGATTTTGATCATCCCTGTTTTTTATCTCCCCATATGTTTCAGGAATTTTTTGGAGTGTTCTAAGTGATAACACATTATTGAAAAATATATTGTCATATTTGTCATCACTGTAACAGGGGATTGGAAGTTGTTTAATTCTTTCACTACGCCTAAGATCAGAATTTTGGGGTTCATTTAATGAGCTCTCATTTTCTGTAGTTTCACCTGTTTCATTTTCGTGCACTTTATCAGTTATTGTCTCATCTGGTTCGTCGTCTACTAATTTTACTAATTTATGCTCTGAAGGAACTTCACAGCTACTAGTTTTGGTACCAGTTTCCACTAATTTTTTATTTTGTTGTGGAGTGGACCTATTAGTTTCAGGACAAGTTACTGATTTAGTTAAATTATGTGAATTATTATAATGGTTATTAGACTTATTGTCTAATTTAATTGGCCGTGAATTTTTAAAATTAATTTCGTCAAAAATAACATCACGTGCTACTAAGAAATTTTGATTTTCGACATTCCAAATTTTATATCCATTTGGTTCGTATCCAACTAAAATTCCTTTGAAAGATTTTTCATCAAATTTTGCCTTTCTTAGTTTGTTATGAACGTAAACAGTGGAGCCAAAAATCCTTAAATGATATATTTTGGGCTTTTTGCTATGCCAAAGCTCATATGGCGTTTTGAATAGTTTAAGTGCTTTGGTAGGGGTTATATTTATTAAATATGTTGCGGTTAATACCGCTTCACCCCAAAAAGATTTATCTAGATTTGCACAACTAATCATACTTCTAGCTTTTTCCGTAATAGAACGATTCATGCGTTCAGCTACGCCATTTTGCTCTGGAGTTCGAGGAACTGTTAAGTGATACGTGATGCCTTTTTGGACGCAGAAATTTTTATATTCATTTGATAAATATTCGCCACCATTATCACAGTACAGGTTTACTAGATTCACATTAAAATGTGTGGAGCTTTTAGCGACAAAATCTTTAAATGCACCCAATACTTCAGATTTATAGGCTAATAAATAAGTGACAGTATAATGGGTATACTCGTTTTGTGTACTCGTCAATAAATGTCAGAAAATATTGCTTGTTATCAATGGTTGAAGGGGAAATTGGACCACAAACATCAGAATGAACGATGAATAATGGTCTATTGATATGGGTTTTTAATTTTGATTTAGCAAATGGTAATTTAGATTGCTTGCCAAAAATACAAGCTTCACATATTGCTTCTTGCGTGGGTTTAACATTTTTAATAATTGAACTGTTTTCTACCATTTCAGAATGCTTTAACTTATCAAATTTTTCTTTACTAATATGGCCAAGACGTTTGTGCCAAATATGGTAGTTATTATTTATGTGGGTAGTGCTCAAGTTAACTGTACTATAAGGTATTTTAAAAGTGACGTTTAAAAGATTATTTAAGGGCTTACCTGTTAAAATTACTTGTTCGCCCATTTTAACTTTTACGCCATTTAAATCGAAGATGATGGTCAGTCCTCGTTGTTGCATACGGTGTACTGAGAGCAGATTATATGGAACCTCGGGACAGAACAGGACGTTTTCCAAATGACCATTCACTTCTAAATTTGTTGTAACGGCAACTGTTCCTTTTTTGGTTGCAACAACGGATGTTCCACTTTTAGCGACACCAATGCTTATTGGAACTGGTAGTTCATCGAATGATGAAAACACATCATCTCTGTTGACGATATGGTCAGTTGCGCCTGAGTCCAAGATAAATTGTATTTCACTTCTGGTTGTAGAATTTTCTTGGTTGCTTCTAAGCATAAAAGCAAAACTTTTATCATTTTCTTGCACTGTTTGTAGTGTGCATGGGCGAGATTGACTTGAGGTGTTTAGAGTTTGCTTATAATAATAGCAATCTTGTTTTACATGGTTACTTCGGCCACAATGATTGCACTTGATGTTAGATAATTTTCGCTTTGAAATAGAAGTATTATATTTTGGTGTTTGTGGTTTAAATTTATTTTTGAAATTATTTTTCTTT